CCCGTCGTAAACCTGAGCCTAGACCAGTCCATGCAAAAGGTTCACATTCTGGACACAACAGGAAGCCATCTGACCACAATGTGTATTTATGTGCTTCCAGCTTCTACCCAGAACACACCACAAAATCCATTGCCTATAAGTCAATCCTTGAAACACAACTGTATCCGTTGAGACTTACAACTTAGGAATTTAAAACAGAGGCTCACAACTCAGAGAACTTAAGACAGAACCCCATCTTAAGAATTTATGTCAGACACTCCACAGGCTACAATATCAACCCAACGAAGTGCCATAGCAGAACAAAGGGCAGAATAGTACTGAGGAATAATGTACTAAAGAACAGAAGAGGAGGAGAAAATGATAGAATGCTACTTGCTGCCATTTATAGCTCCCATCAATGATCTACAGCCCACATTGGACAATGATGTTTCCCTCTCTCACTGGCCTTGAATGGTAGGGCTTGTTCCTTCTTATAGAACACCCCCTGCCAAAATAAACAACAACCCCAAACCCTAACACAACTACTCACTAGCAACAACAGGCCCTCCATAACAGAGGTTTGGACACAGGGCCCAGCTCCCTGTGGCAGATTCAGATGACAACTCTGTTCCCATGTCTACTATGGCAACACCATACCTTTTTTTTTCAGGGCCTAACAATTTAATCTGCAACATCTGGGCTTCAGTCACCTGTTCCTCTTCTCAGTGTGATATATGCCATCATCCACCAGCAATGCCCTTTTGCATTCTACACAGGACAAGGAAGGCTGTCTCTATGCAAGAATACATAAATGGGTACAAATCTGCCACCAGAAATAGCAATACAGTGGTACCTCCGGTTGCGAACGGGATCCGTTCTGGAGCTCTGGTCGCATCCCGGGGAATTTGCAATCGGAGCTGCCGCTTCTGCGCATGCATGCGGCATGGTTTAGCGGTTTTGTGCATGCGCGCGCAGCAAAACCCAGAAAAATACTCTGGGTTTGCCATGTATGTATCCCGAAGGATACATAACCGGAGGTGAACACAACTAGAGGTACCACTGTATTCCAAATCCCATGGGGAAACACTTCAACCTCACAAGAAGCTATTGGCTTGGTTCACACATCAGAAGAAGAAGAAGAAGAAGAAGAAGAAGAAGAAGAAGAAGAGTTTGGATTTGATATCCCGCTTTATCACTACCCTAGGGAGTCTCAAAGCGGCTCACAATCTCCTTTCCCTTCCTCCCCCACAACAACCACTCTGTGAGGTGAGTGGGGCTGAGAGACTTCAGAGAAGAGTGACTGGCCCAAGGTCACCCAGCAGCTGCATGTGGAGGAGCGGAGAAGCAAACCCGGTTCACCAGATTACAAGTCTACTGCTCTTAACCACTACATCACACTGGCTCTCAAACGATGGCTTGCCAGGGCCATGTCAATGTCCTGGCTCCTGGAGAAGGGCTAACACATACTTTGCTCCACCCTAGTCTTTTTAACTCGAACCTGTAACTAAGCCAAGACTGGCTTTGCATGTTGTCTGAGCAACAGATCTTGGTTAAGTTGTCTCTCTTCCTTAACAGTGTTAGAAACTGAAATATGAAAGCTGGGAGCTGAATGGGACCTTAAACCAAGGTTATGGGCACAACAACGGAACGTCTAGGGGTGCTTTTTTTTATAACAAGAATGCAAAGCTGAAAATGAATGAACTGCAGCTAAAATATTATGTTGGTTTTTCACATGCTCCAAGTCCTTCCCCTGCCCACCCCTCTAATATTCTTAAGCGAGTCTCTTCTCCAGTTTCAGAGAGTAGCTGGAAGTGGGGAGGCAGAAAAAGGTCCCCCTTTCCTTCCACTCTGCCGTTTTAATCCGAAATCTTAGGCTCAGTACTGTGCCCAGAGCTCAGAGACTGCTGGCGCCGATGAAATTCCCTGTCACAAAATGCGCCTAGGACAATGGGAGTTTCGAACACTGTTCCTTAGCCATGATCTGTAGCCAAGAAGAAACTCTGGCTTGGCGTCATGGGTAAGCACAGTCTCTGTAAGTGACTTTAGCATTGCCTTCCTGGGGCAAAGGAATTTCAAAGGGAAACTGCAACATGCTTAAATTACAATACAAGAGGTTTGATGCTCTCTCTTGTGGACTGAACCAAGGCAAAGGATTTTTAACACATTATGTGTAATCATTGGCTTATCAATGCCAGGATGCCTGTGTTAACAACTGTTTTGTGAATTACCGCAGATAATTAGGTACGTATGACTGTCTGTAGCTTTTGGCATTTTGTTTCCCTCTGACCTCATTGTTAATGTTCCCCTCCCTCTCGCCGGTTTCCTCAAGCCATGCGTACGCATTCCTGTAACTCAAGGATAACACTCATGCTTCAGAGGAAGTGGACTATAATCTCAAAAGTTTATGCCATAATATATATGCCACAAAAGGAGCCACAAGGCACTTCGTTGCTTTTGCTGCAAGAGACTAACTATGCCATCCTTCTAGGGAAAAACATTTTCTACAAACATTATAGTCTAGAAGAGATGGATTTCCTGAGATTCTGCCACATGCACTGTTCCCTACATATAGCCCATCAAAAAAGTGAATGGTCGGTCTATTTATACCTGCATCCTTTCCTGTCTTACTGCAGGTGCAAAATGTTTTACAGTTTGCATGCTTACAGTTGTTATAATTTTTTATTGTTACTATTCTACCATTACAGTTAAGGTGTTGGTACTAGAAGAGAGGGATGCGGGTGGCACTGTGGGTTAAACCACAGAGCCTAGGGCTTGCCGATCAGAAGGTCGCCGGTTCGAATCCCCGCAACAGGGTGAGCTCCCGTTGCTCAGTCCCTGCTCCTGCCAACCTAGCAGTTCGAAAGCACGTCAAAGTGCAAGTAGATAAATAGGTAGCGCTCCGGCGGAAAGGTAAACGCCGTTTCCGTGCGCTGCTCTGGTTCGCCAGAAGCGGCTTAGTCATGCTGGCCACATGACCCGGAAGCTGTACGCCGGCTCCCTCGGCCAATAAAGTGAGATGAGCGCCGCAACCCCAGAGTCGGTCACGACTGGACCTAATGGTCAGGGGTCCCTTTACCTTTACTAGAATAGAGAGCCCTATATCGCTTGGGACCCAAGTACCTAAAAACAGCATGTATTCCAATAGCATCTATCTCAGGTCTTGTGATTGGCAGGGGAAGCTCTGTTGGTGGTGTCTCTGGGTGGCTGTCGACCAATAGACATGGACCAATGACAGCGGCTTCTTAGTGGTAGCTCCCTGTTTGTGAAATGCCTTCCCTGGTGAAGTGTGCCTGCCTCCCTTCATCATTACAGAGCAGAAGAAATTTAAACACATTCCTGCCTACCCAGGCATTTCCACTACATTTTTAATTGCTTTATTTTAACTTTTTTGAGGGTTTGCTGCCCTGAGCATCTCTGGGAGGAAGGGTGAGCTATACATGTAATAAAAATAAATACATAAGATTGCTGCACTTTGCACCTTTTCTGGGAAATCCACACTGCTTTATCTCATTTAGCAAAGCTGCCCTAGTTTTATTTGTCGTATGGGTATAATATCGATCATCATAATAGCTTATTTTGGCTGGCTGGCAAGGTTATTTTATCAGGAACGTCCAATTCCGTGATTATTAATTCCCCAGCACTGCCCTGTTTGGCACAGGTATTGCACTCTCGTTTGCTGCAACGTGATGTCTTATCATCTACAATGAATCCCTTTTTTCTGTTTTTTAACTTTTTTCTCTGTTTTTAGGAGGAAAATTTATAAGGGACTTAGATAAAGTAGCACACACTTCTTCTTCTCCCCCCAATCTTTCCTGACAAAAGCCCGATTATTTTAATTTTAGGCAGCTCTGCAGCTTCCTGAGTGGAGCACTGCTGGGAGAGTGCTTTTCTTTCCCTAGGCATTATTCCAGAGTCTTCAAACAGAAACAGGAAGTGTCATCAGGCATCAGCAAGGATGAAAGAGTCTTCCTCAACAAACAGAACATCCATGCCTTAAAAGGAGCATTCTGTAGAATGCCGTAAGCCCAAACGCTAAGGAAGGAAAGCAATAATAATGATGATGAAAAGTATCTTACCAGCTTTTCTGTTTCCTTGTGAAACAGAAACAAAACAAAACACAAAGCAGCAGCAGCAGTGGCAAAGGTCAAACCAGAAACTTAGAACTGACCTTTGGAAGACCTAAAAGTGTGTCTCCACCTGAAGAATTTAAAAACATACCTTCCTCCCAGCCCTGTCAGTATGGAACACCTGTGCTCAGAGACCTGTACTGGTTGCCGATTTGCAACTGAGCCAAGTTCAGAGTGTGACTAACAGCATATACAGCCCTCAGCAGCTTGGAACCAGCTGGCTTGTGAAACAGTCTGATTTCATAATAATAATACAGCCGTACCTTGGAAATTGAAATGAATCTCTTCTAGAAGTCCGTTTGACTTCCAAAACATTCGGAAACCAAATCGTGGGTTCCGAATGGCTGCAGGAAGCTCCTGCAGCCAATCGGAAGCTGCGTCGGATGTTCGCAAACTGGAACAGTCACTTCCGGGTTTCAATCGTTTGGGAGCCAAAACGTTCGAGAACTAGGCTGTTCGAAAACCAAGGTATGATTGTAATGATAATGATAATTATTATATTTCTACCCCACCCATCTGGCTGGGCGGCTTACTTGTTCAGCAGTTTTAAGAAATCTTTTTTTAAAATAAACAACACTTTGGAATCTCTGCCTATGGATACTCTTTTCAGAGCGTCCTAAAAACATTTAGGTTTTAAGAAGTGGTGCTCAGTGGTTCTAGGAATGGTTTGGAATACCAATACAGGTCTAGCCCAGGAAGTTCTTCAGATGACAGATCACCTGTGTGAATCACACACTACTACTCCAGGCTTCTTGAAAGAAAAGGGAAGGACTCATGTTAAGTAAATTAATAGTATTTTGGGGGTGGGGTGGGGAGGATTCCTACAACCTTTAGAGCTAAGTAGCATGTAAACACATAAAAATACAACTCCACAAGGGAGCACATGATACATACCTCCGACGCTGTTGCAGCGAGATGTCATTTCCCACAGAACCAAAGCCATGGAATATACGTCAGTTTGTTTGAAGGACTCGACGTTATCCAAGTTCATTCTGGATTCCAGGACTTCGGGAGCCATGTACCTTGCTGTGCCAACCTGTCAGCATTCACAAAATGGTTTAAAAAATTATTTTTGGTGGAGTAACCCGTTTGACTGTACACGTTGAGCTTTATGTGCTTGTTGTTTTTTTTATTAAAAAAAATATTTTCTCTTTAAAAACGGCAGCGAGAAGTTTCGAACATTCCGTTGCAACTACAAAATCCAGGGTGTAACCGTGGACATGGAAGAGGCAGTGCAAAGCAGGCAGGAGAATCTGCAATCGCAAGGTTTAACCACTACCCCCAATGGTATTTCAACGTCTTGTAAGCACGAGTAGTTGACAGCCATTCATAAATGGAAAACTAGAGTAAAGAGTCACATTTTGTGGACGCTATTAGGGTACAGGGCAAAACCTATTCCTGTATCCTGAAAACTGAGACTTTGCTGACAAAGATCATGTGCTGCAAGGGGTTGGACTAGATGGCCCCTGGGGTTCCTTCCAACTCTATGAATCTATGCAAGGGAGGAGGATGTGCGTTCCTTGCAATAATTAATTGTCCAAACCCTCCCCTCCAAACACATTCTAGCCATCACAGTACAGTGGTACCTTGTTGTTGTTGTTGTTGTTGTTGTTGTTAAATTTTATTTATACTCCACCCTCCCCAGCCAAGACCAGGCTCAGGGCAGCTAACACCGGTATAAAAACAATTGATTGAAATACAACTTAAAAACAAGATTAAAATACAACATTAAAATGCAGCTTCATTTCAGTAGGAACTCAAATCAAAAACTTTTTGGGGGATGAAAACGTCAAGTCTTCACCAAGGCCAACTATCCAGACTGGTCCTACGTGGGCCAGAAAAAAGCCAAGGAAGTTCCCAAATAGGAGTTCCATCACAGAAGGGAAAAAGGAAGAGGGGGAGGGGATCAATTTTATTCCAAGCCAAAGGCCAGGAGGAACAACTCTGTCTTACAGGCCCTGCAGAAAGAAATCAGACCCCACAGGGCTCTGGTCTCATGCGACAGAGCGTTCCACCAGGCCGGAGCCAGTGTTGAAAAGGCCCTGGCTCTGGTTGAGGCTAATCTGACTTCCTTAGGGCCCGGGACCTCTAGGGTGTTACTATTTATAGACCTTAAGGTCCTCCGTGGGGCATACTGGTTCGACTTCCAAAACATTCGGGAACCAAATCGCGGCTTCTGATTGGCTGCAGGAAGCTCCTGAAGCCAATCGAAAGCCGCAGAAGTCGCGTCAGACATTCGGGTTCCAAAGAACGTCTGAAAACCAGAACAATCACTTCCGGTTTCCAATCGTTCAGACTCCCAAGCTGTTTGAAAACCAAGGTACGACTGTAGTGGACATTTTTTGCCAAGCCCTGTTTTAAATCCTCCAGCTTTGGCTCTTGCCTTGCTCCTCCCCTCTGCCCCTGTCGTACGGCTCACCTGCCCACTGTTAGCCAGGTCGTCTACGGAGAGGGTGGGATCCAGCCGCAGCGACAGCCCAAAGTCACAGAGGCAGCAGGTCAAATCGTTCTTCACCAGGATATTGGAGCTCTTGAGGTCTCTGTGGACAATGGGCGTCTTGGGTCGGCCGCAAGGTGTGTGATCGCTGTGAAGATGGGCGATCCCTCGGGCCAAAGACCCGCCCAGCTTCCAGAGGTCCTCCCAGCTAATGATGTGCTTTATAAGGTACTCCTGCAAATTCCCCCTTGCGTGGAAGGCAGTGATCAGCCAGTACTGTTTGCCTACATCCGTCTTGCGCTCCTCAGCCGTGAGGAACTGCAGGATATTTTCGTGCTTCAGGTTTATGTCGGAGAAGATGTCCTTCTCCGTCTTCCAGGAGACGTACTCTTCGTAGGAGAAGATCTTGACCGCCACGGTTTCAAACTGCTCCGATGTGTTCTGTTTCAGTTTAGCCTTGTAGACTTCAGCGAAGCGTCCTTTCCCCACCAGGGTGTCCAGCTCAATGGGCAAGAGCTCAGTATTGTGGTTGATGTTATTGGCGCAAGTGGAGCTGATGTCAGAGCAGTCGTCGTCCATCATGATGGCGCAAACATCGCTGCAGTCTTTATGCTTCCTGGACTTCACGTTCTTCTCCCATGCCTTGTTCAGCTTCCTCCTCCTCTGGATACGGTAGCAGTAAAAGATCAGGATCACGGCTTTGGCAATCACCAGCAGCGGGACGAGGCTTATCAGCGCAACTTTGGAAATCACACTGATCACGTCTTCGTCTGGTATTTCAGTGATATCTGGTAGAATGAGATAAATAATATTGCTGAAGCGTTGATAAAAGATGCTATGGCAATAGAGGCATTTTACTGTTAGTTAATACTGTAGTACACTTTAACCTACAACCGGAATCTGCAAAAATTTCACAATTCTACAAACCCCAAAGAGGGTCAAATTTCTTTCTCAGGCATCATTCAACGGTGCCACTCAAATCCCACTGAATACATACCAAATGGACTCCTGTGTATATACAGTGGCAAAAAAAAACCAAACAAACCACCAGTTCAGGCAATGCTGTTGTTGCTTTTTCTCCTCTATTTGGGTAAAAATAGATTTGGGCAAGGTAAGGGTAAAGGGACCCCTGACCATTAGGTCCAGTCGTGACCAACTCTGGGGTTGTGGCGCTCATCTCGCTGTATTGGCCAAGGGAGCCGGCGTACAGCTTCTGGGTCATGTGGCCAGCATGACTAAGCCGCTTCTGGCGAACCAGAGCAGCGCATGGAAATGCCGTTTACCTTCCCGCCAGAGCAATACCTATTTATCTACTTTGACGTGCTTTCGAACTGCTAGGTTGGCAGGAGCAGGGACCGAGCAACAGGAGCTCACCCCGTCACGGGGATTCAAACCGCCGACCTTCTGATCGGCAAGTCCTAGGCTCTGTGGTTTAACCCACAGCGCCACCCGCATCCCGGGCAAAACAAAGGGGAGGGCAATTTTTGCTTACTTGAGTATTTAGTGTGCTTACACTAACATATATGCTGAATGTGGGTCTGGACCAATTTCTCACTGCCGCAAGCCCGGCGAAAAGTGATCCTAGCCAGAACCTGTACAGAGATTGTAATTCCTTGTCGCTATCGGTATGTGACAGTATTTAGAAAAAGAGGAAGCTGTCACAGAAAGACTTTGTTTCGTAAGGCCCTTTTTAAAAAATAACAATAAAAAGCTTTAAGAAGTTTAGTCTAGACTAAAGGATGTGTCATCATTATTGTTATGACCAAGTTAGTTTAGCAAAGCAAGATGTATACTTTGAGATTATGGCGTGTGTGTGTGTGTGTGCAAAACTCTCTCAACAGCTGAAAATCTAGTCTGAGTAAGAGGCACAATGGAACTTTCAACCACAGTGGAATGAGAGGCTTGTGTCATCACACACTTGCGTTTTCTATCTAGAAATTCAGTTGGCAGCAGAAATTTCAACTATTTTGAGGGTGGGGGAGCCAAAATGCTTGGGGGAATATCGCAGAGGCATTTGACTATTTTATTAAAATATTAAACATTTTTTCAAGTAAACTAAAATGTTATCAAGTCAAGAGAGGAGATGCTGAAACAAACGCACACACGCACAAACGAGAATAAAAGCCTTTAAAATAATAATAATAACAAATCAGCAGTTTCCTACAAGATGACACAAGTTAAGTGAAAGAAAATTAATGAAGATTCAAACTAGGGCTGAACTACATGTTACATGATTTTTTTTTTAAAAAACAAACCCATAGCCTGGCACACCCCCTATTATTGTACAAGAAAAACTGCTTGGAGGATGGTTATTTGAAGCAAAAAAGAAAAGAAAAGGGGGTGTTTAACACTTCCCCCCCTCTTGCTGGAAATGTCTGAAATTAAAGAAAGATTTGCAGTCCCTGGGATGATGGGTTCAGCATGGACAAACACTTCCTGGGGGTTTTTCCTGGCCTATTTAATGTCACCCGAAATGTATGACTACTCCACATTTAGTGGCCTAGCAAAAATATGCAACCGCTTTAAATGGGGTCTCAGATGGAAAGCTTCATTCATCTCAACTGGGCTTCACGGGATTTCAGCATGCCAGCTGCTGGGTAACTGTCCACTCGGGCTTTTATGAACCACTTTCATGGCATTTGCCAAGCAGCAGATGCACCACACTACACACTTAGCTTGTTGCATGTAGCCCAGGAACTGTTTTGTCCTCTAGGCTGAATTCTGGGATTGTGGGAGAGAAGGGGCATTTGTTGCCAGCTCTGGGTACTCCCATTGCCCCATGATGGCTGACCCTGCTTCTTTGCACAGAATAATACACCGGAATTTGCCACTAATGAGTCATTTTCAGCAGCGAGTCACAAAACAAGCAAAGTCCAGATTCATTGCACTTGGGCAAAAAAAATGCACTTGGGCAAAAAAAATGAGAGGCACAAATACAAGATGGGTGACACCTGGCTTGAGAGCAGTACGCGTGAAAAGGATCTAGGAGTCTTGGTTGACCACAAACTTGACATGAGCCAACAGTGTGACGCGGCAGCTAAAAAAGCCAATGCAATTCTGGGCTGCATCAATAGGAGTATAGCATCTAGATCAAGGGAAGTAATAGTGCCACTGTATTCTGCTCTGGTCAGACCTCACCTGGAGTACTGTGTCCAGTTCTGGGCACCACAGTTCAAGAAGGACACTGACAAACTGGAACGTGTCCAGAGGAGGGCAACCAAAATGGTCAAAGGCCTGGAAACAATGCCTTATGAGGAACGGCTAAGGGAGCTGGGCATGTTTAGCCTGGAGAAGAGGAGGTTAAGGGGTGATATGATAGCCATGTTCAAATATATAAAAGGAAGTCACATAGAGGAGGGAGAAAGGTTGTTTTCTGCTGCTCCAGAGAAGCGGACACGGAGCAATGGATCCAAACTACAAGAAAGAAGATTCCACCTAAACATTAGGAAGAACTTCCTGACAGTAAGAGCTGTTCGACAGTGGAATTTGCTGCCAAGGAGTGTGGTGGAGTCTCCGACTTTGGAGGTCTTTAAGCAGAGGCTTGACAACCATATGTCAGGAGTGCTCTGATGGTGTTTCCTGCTTGTCAGGGGGTTGGACTCGATGGCCCTTGTGGTCTCTTCCAACTCTATGATTCTATGATTCTATGATCTCTAAATAGCTCCTGTGAATGCCTGTCACTTTAAGAGAGGAAAGATATCATACAGGAAGTGAGGACTAGCAGTGGAAAAGGGACAGAAAGCAGCAAGCAAAGAGAAAGAGAGAAAACTACAGTAGTTTGTGATTGAAGCAACTAAGCAGTTTTCTTGAGCAACAGAATAACTTGTTCTGCTTTGAAGATCTTTGGGGCTACTTGGTTAATGATGCATTGCCTTGGCGGTGGCCTTTTAAAAAGGAAATTATTGGCTCTAAGCCAGCTTTTAAGTCTGCTGGTTGACTGGTTTACATACATACAGTGGTACCTCAGGTTAAATACTTAATTCGTTCCGGAGGTCCGTACTTAACCTGAAACTGTTCTTAACCTGAAGCACCACTTTAGCTAATGGGGTCTCCCACTGCTGCCGTGCTGCCAGAGCACGATTTCTGTTCTCAACCTGAAGCAATGTTCTTAACCTGAGGTACTATTTCTGGGTTAGCGGAGTCTGTAACCTGAAGCATATGTAACCTGAAGCGTATGTAACCCGAGGTACCACTGTACAAGCATAATTTTATTTGTATGATGCCTTTCTATGGTTTAAAACCATGCTCAAGGTGGCTTTCAACGTGAAAAAAATCACACAAAGATGCAAACGTAAAAAAAGTAGTCATAAAAAATAAATAAATGGAACATTGAAATGTATGCAACCAAATCAAACCATTTCCACATGGATCACCATAAGGTCTAAAACAAAGATACAAAAATTTAGGACCACAAACAGCAACAAAATCCCTAAAGAAAGCCCAAGAGTCTGTTCAGCAGCCTCAGCTCATGTAGCTGGAGTCAGTCAGGACCCCTCTCTCCCAGGCCAGGTGGGGAAAGGCCTGCAAGGCAGGGAGCAGGTCTTCCAGGGCTCAAACCCTTGATTTAGGACACAGGAGGGGAAGCTCTCTGCCCTGGGTCTAACCAGGCGTATGACTTTGGCTTGCAAGGCCATTTGGAGCAAGCCATGCCACCCAGTATAAGCTAAACAAGCTATAGCTTAGGGCCCCCCCAAAAATTAAAGGGGAAAAAACCTGGATGTAGATTTCCAAAACATAAGATAAGTTCAACAATTACTTTGATAAAATACATATTTTGTTATGTGCAAATGGCTTTAGATACATATTAGGTCCATAAATAACTATATAGCATATATTCAACAGAAAAAACAGCGACAATTTGTTGTTGACAAAGGACAGCTGGATATATAAAGAGCCCCATTGCCTTCAGTAGCTTAGGGCATGGGTAGGCAAACTAAGGCCTGGGAGCAGGATCCGGACCAATCACCTTCTCAATCCGGCCCACGGACAGTCTGGGAATCAGCGTGTTTTTACGTGAGTAGAATGTGTCCTTTTATTTAAAGTGCATCTCTGGGCTATTTGTGGGGCATAGGAATTCGTTCATTTCTGCCCCCAAAGAATATAGTCCGGCCCCCCACAAGGTCTGAGGGACAGTGGACCGGTCCCCTGCTGAAAAAGTTTGCTGACCCCTGGCTTAAGGCCTCATCAAACCTAAATCTGGCCCTGACACCACCTGCCAGTTATCTGACGTCTGGCACAGAAATCTGGTATCTTCCATCTAAGCACTAATTGTCGAGATCAGAGATCTCTCACCTTTGTTTTTAGCATTCAGAACCCCAGTGCTACGCTCAGAGATAAGCCCCCGCCTGCTCTTTAAAAGGCAGCAAGCAGAGAGGCTTATCTTGGATACAAGTTTCGGCTGCTGGCTTTTACTGAAAAACCGCAGGCAGGCTGAAATCGGAATCATCTGTCAAAAACGGCCCACAGAGGGTGGGTTAGTACTAGATCTGGCCTTTAGGCTGAAAAAGACTAGCTGTAATTTAGGATATGGAGTTAGATCCAGACTTTGGCCGCACTCCTAAATCCACGTATATGGGACTTTCTTCACTGAATTCAACTGGTGGCAACAGGTGGCAGACTTATCCATACACAGAGTAAAGGTAAAGGTAAAGGTACCCCTGCCCGTACGGGCCTCTGGGGTTGTGCGCCCATCTCACTCAAGAGGCCGGGGGCCAGCGCTGTCCGCAGACACTTCCGGGTCACGTGGCCAGCGTGACAAGCTGCATCTGGCGAGCCAGTGCAGCACACG